CCAGGGCGACGTCCGGGGGGCGCTGGCGTCCTGCGGCGTCGACGTCGGCGCCGCCCACGCGGCGCGGCTCGTCGAGTCCGTCGGCGGCGGCGTCGGGAGCGACCGGGTCTCGGCGCTCGCGCGCGCCGTCCTCGCGGCGGACCGCCCGCCCGCCGTCGAGGGCCTGGCGGGCTACGCGAGCGCGGCCCTCGACGACGCGCAGCGGCGGCGCGAGGCCCACCGGTGCCTGCTGGTCGCGGACGTCGACGAAGCGCCGAGCCCGGCGTCGCCGTCGCGGCGCGGGCCCGGCGCGGCCGCGGCCGCGGTCGCCGCGCGCGCGACCTTCGCCGACGACACGGTCGCCCACTTCGTCTGCGACGACGGCGGCGCCGCGGGCCCGCCGCGGCCGCCGCGCTACGAGCCGCCGCCGACGCAGCTCCGGCCGCGGACGCCCGGCGCGGCCCCGCCGCCGGGCCGCGGCGCGGACCTCGCGCGCGAGGGCCGGGCGCTCAACGCGGCGCACGCGGCGCGCAACGCCCGCGCGAGCCAGGGGCACAGCGCCTTCTCGATCATCTAAGGGTTGGTGATGAAAGACTTCAACGCCAACGTTGAAGCAGCGCGCTCGAGGCATCGAGCGCGCGTGCCAGACGAAGGACACCAGGCGCCCTCGACTGCAAGCGATGCGCGTCGCGGCGGCTCCGATGTTCGCGCTCCTCTTCCCCCGGGCCGGCACGGCCTTCCGCGCCCTCGGTCGCGCGCAGCCGCGCCTCCGGGCGTTGGCGTCGTCGGCCGCCATGCCGCCGGTCACCCTCCTGTCGGGCTTCCTCGGCGCGGGCAAGACGCAGCGTCCTGCGGCCGTGACGATTTTCGAGAGCTTTTGACGATGAAACATCGTTACCGACGCGCTTGGTAGGCAAGACGTCCATGCTCACGGGCATTTTGGACAACCGCGACGATCTGCGCGTCGCCGTCGTCGTCAACGACGTCGCCTCCGTCAACGTCGACGGCGCCGTGATCCGCAAGGAGCTCGTCGGCGTCGACGAGACCGAGGTCGAGCTCTTGGAGCTCCAGAACGGCTGCGTCTGCTGCGGCGCGTCGGCGCTGGAGCTCGCCGGGAACGTCAAGGACCTGGTCCAGGTCGGCGCGGACCGCGGCAAGCCCTTCGACCACGTCGTCATCGAGATGTCCGGCGTCGCGGACCCGAGGGCCGTCCAGTACAATCTGGAGGACGGCGGCGTAC